GTTTAAACGTACCTCTGCCTTTGATAGTTTCCGATAGTCTCGTTTGCCAAGTTCAGTAAGAGAGAACACAATAAGACCAAAAACTGTACAAAAAACAATTAAAGATATTGCCCACTGTACTTTTCCAAATCGCATCGTGCACTACGTTTTTCATTTCCAAAATATAATGTAATGTGTGTGCCCACGTTGAGACATCCTGAAATTACTGAATATTTCATTTGTTTCGAAGATTGTTGATTGTTTCGCTATCAAATTCATGATGATTAAAATTCTTTCCGTTATATGTATATCCAACATCCCCCTTTTATATCCAATACAGATTCTTCCAAGATGGGAAAGTACTATAATTGGGCATTTTCTACGAGCGTCTACACCTGTTCTAACTCGTGACTCACGCTCGTAAGAAGTACCATACGTGAATGGAATTGAAGCGTTAGAGTTGCATATGTTACACAGCAAAAACATATTTCCGTTTTGTACAACCACTCTGAGGAATTCAAGACGAAAAAAATTGCTTTTGATTCGTCACGATATCTCAATCCGTTCCGGAGATATAAGATTCCAGAGTTTTAAACGGAGCACTTGGCATTACTGACACGATGACCTAATTACTTATGCGTCTCAGCTGTTTGTCTAGGTCTAGACCATTTTGGTCAATGTATGAGAAGGAAAACAGTAGCACCGGAAAAATTATGTTGATCTGCGCACGACGGTATCTCCGGAACTGGCAATCGGATCGAGATGAATCAAACAGTACTTTAAAGAGGGGACTCTTGCGCTTTGAGCTTTGAGAGTTTCATCTGTCTATTGGCATTCATTGCAGTTATGGGTCGTCAAAGTTTTACTTCATTTTACTCTCCGTACTGGAGTAGCAGGATTTATGACTGAATTCCTTGTCTCGAGTATGGTACGTAGTGATATCGTCTCTGAAGCAAGCATTGGGAGACACTCAATTGATTTATCCAGTGTTCTATAGAAATCAGTACATTTCCCCCGATGCCCTCGTGCTCAGAAACTCAGGCTAACAATAAAATTTGAATAGGATAAATTCGAAACGAGGAGGTATCGATAGGACAGGTACGTAGTGACATCTAACTCGATATCAAGCGAGCTTCTTCAACTATGTCGAGCAAGTAAATGCTCATGTATCATTGTTTGCACGTTCAGTGATAAGTATTTGACAAATTTTGAATAAACACTTGGTGGACGTGCGGTCGATTGATAAAGAAACAGTCCATGTTGTATCGATTAGCATATCCGCGCGCGAAAATCGGTAAGCGCTTCACACAAAACGTTTGCAATGTGTTTTAGGTTTGGCAAAATAACCTCTCTCTCTCTCTTATAATTTCATTTTCTATTCGTATCAATCTATCGAGAATGATTCTTATATTACATTTAAATACGTTTTTTGCGATCATTTTATACAAATACACGTTTGATCATCGAATATACTTGAACTGTACACAGAGCATCACTTGCAAAATTTAATCAAATTGAGTAGTCAAGTCGGTTGATTTAACGAAATAAATATTGTGTCTCCTCAGCCATGTTATGATCATGCGTTGGCATAAGAAACTAGGAATTTAATGTTGAATAAAAGCACGAAAGTGGACCGCGATAAGGGGAAACGATGCCGAATTGTGGCGGCCTGTTCAGACTCATTCGGCGGCGCCTTGTACTTGGATTAATCTTCGCTTTTTCGCTTACCTACTGCGCTTTCTCGCTCCTTCGCAACGAGGTAAATAATGAATAGCATCAACATTGCTGAATGTGACAATAATTCCGATGTCCACGAAAGACGTTTGGCAGTGTACCGTGACGTCTAACTCGAGATTTAGGACCTCACGTTTCTTTACTTCCTAGAGGAAGACGTTAGCTTTGGATAATGATCTTGATGACATGGACCCCATGATGATCAATGATAATAACGATGAGTTGATTTCTGATGATGATGCATTATCAGAGCAACTGAAGGCATCTGGTAAACCACCGCTATGGCAGATGGCAGTTGTCGATCAAGGGGCAAATCAGAATGCATTGAACATGGAAGCAAATTTAAATGATACCGATACTGTAATTCATCCTTGTCGTAATTCTGTTCAGGTACATAAATCTAATGAAGAATAGATAATAAGATAGAGCGGAAAGAGTCTTAACAGCTTCTTACTATTCCGATAGGGCAAAGTTCTGATAGTAGATGAACGTGGCATTGTATGCTCTAGACAGGAAATTTTGCCAAATGGCTGCTGTAATATAGAACAAAACGTAAAAAATGAGGAAACGTCGACCATAGCCAAGAGAGAGAGGTATAGCTGTAAAACCTGTAATGCCCAGGGGTGCTGTGCTATCTATGAGTATTGCGTTTCTTGCTGCCTGCATCCTGGCAAGGTGGATTTTCGTTTTTCTCCTTTTAAAATCCCACGGAATAACAAAGGTACTAATGGGAAATTCTCGTTAACAGCAAATAAAGGGGAGAAAGGATGTGCTGTTAGGTTTGCTTAGAGACAATCACAAAGCGCACAGGGACCAAGACGTGGTGAAGAAACGACTACGGAATTTAGATCGCTTTCAAGTTTGTCTGGCTGCATGCCGCACGTCGAGCGCGAGCGTCCGCCACGAGAACACCTACAAAGATCCGCATTCGAAGCATTGTTATACGCTTCAATCACCGTACACGCATCAAAGACACCGGCGAGATCTTGATTCGATTAATAATAATGACGACAACTCTGTTGTCGTTGCATCTTTTTCTGTCATGCCGTTACTTACCTACCTCTCTCCCTCTTGCCTAATCGTACACGCAAACAACGACTCGCTCCTAATACCGCGCGACTATTACCCCCTGTTGTTGCTCAATCATTAGTCTCACGTTCAACCACCATGAAATATAAAATAAATTTTCTACACGATATTTTCATATGAAAATTCGGCTTCGCATACGAGAAAGTGAATTTTGCGAAGCGATTTTATTCTTAATCTGGTTTACGATTTATTTTTCATCTTCGGTACTCGTTTCGAAAAATAGAACGGTGATTCATTTTATTTGAATTCCAGTTTTAAATATGTCAAATTGGAATCGGCTTCTTTTAATTCATTTCGCGACTTCAAATAATCTATATATTGCATTTTATTGATGGAATCTAGCTCCCGAGGGATAGTCGTGTTTGTATAAATGATTGAGTACGTGCGAGCCAGGAGATACATGCAGGTAGGTACTACTTACAGCACTCTATGTTAGTACCAGATTGATTATGAGAGAAGTATAAATTTCATTGGTGCCTGACAATGTATGAAAATCGCAGCGGGGAATGAGAAATGACCCGATGTTCTCGTTAAGGACTGCTTATGCTTAAAATTATTAATAATGGAACAACTGTTTCGTTGGGTAGCATAATTTATTTCAGTCAGCCTAGTGGTTTGATTAATTATTTATATTCCATGCACATGCCATCTCTTGAATTATTAATTGAACAATATGTAACATTTGTCTATGTATACGAATTGCGGATGGTATCGGAACTTCGCGACGTGGAACTTCTTTTTGCAATTTCCAATACGTGTTATACTCGCATCGAAGCGTGTTTGAATTTCAGTTATTTTCAGCCCAAGAAATTTATTGCCACTTCGTTTTGTTCCGCAGATTCATTCTTTTTTACTGATTATTTATTTATTCAACTTGATTGTATTATTAAAATTGGCACACTTTTGATTACATTTGCGTATCTTTTCTGTGCCAGGCGAGAAAATAAAATCGTAAAACGGTCGGTCATTTAAGGTCAGCTTTTGTTTTCTCCTACTTATTTATGGGATTTTTATGTCGTGGCAATCTTAAAGAGAGAACTGACAAAGGAGCATTCCGTGGCATTTTACAGCTGCGGTGGATTTCTTAATGGTTCAGAAACGCTCCGGTTTGACAGTAGTTTCGATAAGCAAGAATAGAATAAATGTACTCTAGAAAATCAATAACAGATCGGTGAACGACCGAATACGTGCTTCACGTATGCCTGCATAGAAGCGGTAACGCATGCGATATTGATATTACCTTTACCTTTATTGGCATTTTATAGATTTCACTCTATCCTGTATTTGAAAATTGAGAACGAAAGAAGAAATACTTTAATCGGATATCTGAATTTAAAGTAATTTTAATCCGCTAATTCAGATATTTTCGTTTTCGTCATCCTTCCTCGATTAGTCACTATCCTTCGTTTCCTGTTCACAGTCGAACGACCGGATTTCAATTTGTTCGTCGTGTCTCGTTGGACCATGAATTTCCACAGAAAGCGCATTCAGGATGTAGGTAATCCGTTCAACTCACAGATCACGATTCACGAATATGCTGTCGACATTCGTGATCCGCAGAGTCGGAAATTCAGGACCTCTTTCGTTTCTTTTGCGGCAGTGGCGCGGAGCAGTGGGACGGAGTAGCGTGCCGAAGACATAGGAAATCGAATTGCGCGGATATTCGATGCACGCTCATTTCCATAACTTCCCCGATGGGAAGCCATAACGTTGCAAAAACAATTAGTTAATGGGACGCAGACGAAGTTTACGCCATGATCGAGTTACAACCAGTAATGGAGTCAGAACATTTTAAACTTCTATTGTTATGGCTAAATATCGATCAAAATTGTACATCGAAATTATTGCTCGAATCCGGTAACGCTCGCACTTTTCTCTCCTATCAGATTGGCAATTTAATTTATTGAATGAATTAATAAATCCTTGTTCGATCTTACCGTATAGGTTTCGTCAAACGCAGTCTAGTTTTGAGACTGTTTAAACGTTGTCTGTTTTATCGTGTCCGAGACGACGCGGTGTGATTGTTCCCTGCTGAGAAACGTGTATGCATGAAACTATATAGAAAGTATGTAATTTTTAGAGGTTCTCGAAGAGAAAATTCGAAACGAAACTATTCGGCGCATTGTTGTTTGGCGTCTCATTACAGTGATGAATATCAGTCTACAGTTAACAGTGTTCTTAGATCATATTAAACACTGTACGTTTAGAGTACAAGGATTACTTGCTTATTTAGGGTGCAACAAACAAGGGAAGGTTTATTTGAAATGCGTGACAAAGTTCACCGCGAACCTTACTGCAAACATGTTTTCGAGCAATCATGCATAATGTAAAGGGAAGCTTTTCTGTTGGGTTAGATAAACGATAAAAAACAATTTCATAAATTTTCAGTAAGCTCTGGGAATCGAATCGCAGAATAATGTATATAGGTCACTCTCTTGCCGGAGGGCATTTGTTAGCAAGTAAAAAATTAATTCAAACGAATTCAGATATCTCACGTTCACTGAACGAGAGAGAGACGTTTCAGTTTCTTAATCCCTTTAATAAGATACGTTCGCCAATAAGATAAAGTTCCCATAAAAATTCTGTACCATTTTTCTCTTGTATTTCTACATTTATTTTGTTAATATCAATCTCACGAAGACTATGACTTTATTTCCACATTCATTTCTTCAGAACTTCAATGCCATTACATAAAGTACTCTCAATTTTCAAATCAATAACTATAAAACTTTTCTCAGTTAGTAACTACAAATGTATTAAGAAACCCTTACATCGTTAATAAATCTTGGATCTCCACGGTCTCCGATCGAACGATCGGGGGTACGGTTTTCCACGCACGGCGGACGTTTGTGCGCGCGTCGGTTGCAAGCGTCGCGACGCGATGCCTCGCGCCGACGTCGTCGTGCTTACTCTGTCGCTTCCTCTCTGTCGCTCTCTGCCCTCGTCGCCATCCTCTTCGTCTGTGTTTCCCTGGCACCCGTTGAATTCAGCACGTGGCATCAAAGGGAAGATATACGGCGGGGTGGTCGCCTGTTCCCGGCCAAACGGCGACGACCCTCGTTCGTCGTCGCTCGCGCTCCCCGCGTGCGATTTTGAGCAACCGCAAAAGAAGGAGCGTCGCGCCGCTTTTACCTGTTTTCCGCAGAACTTCTACCGCCTCGAGGGTGGAATTATTCAACAATCGCGCGAGTAACTTCGGACGTGACGCGTTGACACACGCTTTTTCGCGAGAATGAATTATTATCATGGTGAGCGTGGAGATTAGCCGCGGCTTTTGGTGCACCTGTTGGCAGTATGTTCGAAACAATTACGGTAGCTCGTAGTAGCTGATTACGATTGTAACTCTACGTTGTTATGGGACCGCTTTTAGGTGAGTTCGCATTCTTTTTCCCTTACGGGAATTTATATTTTCTATCTGTGTTCCATTTTCCGTATGCATGATTCTGTCCTTTTGATAATACGTTATTCAATTTGCAACGTGTATGTTTGCTCCTTTGTAGTATCTTCTTTACGTTACATATTCCATTTTTAGATAGAACGGACGTTCCCTATGGACTTATCCGTCCTTCTGATTTGCCGTGGGAACATCGAATAACAGTTCGGATGTTCCGGACTATGCATTTTTAGTATCGCTATAATCTTCGTTTATCGTGAAAACGATAGCTTCGCGGAAATAGTTTTTAGTTCAACCGCGTGATCTTCTTCGGGATTTACTTTTTTTTATTTTCGGACGCGCTACGCTGTGACGAAACGGATCGACGCACACCGATGAACGCGAATCGTATTTCCACAGTGTAATAAAATGATAATGCCGTTCCTTTCACGTGGTTCCCTTTTCATCAATTAAATGCGATTGACTGATACTGATAATGCAGCCTTTAGAAGGAATAAATTATATTTTTTTGTGCAAAGCAATTAGTGAATTTATTAAAAGCTCTTGAAAATTGTTGCTGACGACTGTCTCCACCAAAGGAAATCGATTCGAATTGTTATTGCCACTTGCCGTGTTCCCAGTATTACTTTCATTACCAGCTTCTAGCTAAATCTACCTAATTCCTATTTCATCAGCAGAGTTTATAATCCTGTTGCAACATCGTTACGTTCCTTTCCGGGAAAAAATGAAACAGGAAAGGAACAATTAGTTTCATTTCCCAGCTTTGCCTTTCTATGCCATTTTTCATGTTCGATCTGTAGTAATCTTGTTTGTATTGTGTTTATAGTTAATTGTTGTTTCTATCCCACGTTTTTATAGTTGTTACTGTTAAGTATCTCCCTTATTATCTTCTGCATCTGCTAATGGTATCTATTATCGATCTTACAAATAATCAAGATAACACTGTTTTACTAGACAATTTGTTAGACATATCTTGATTACAGATATTTCTTACATTTACTTTTTTTATTACCGTGACAGTAATACTAATATTCCGTACTCATGCTTATTTCTATATCTGCAAATCGCTTGCATTATTTATGCTCCTGTAAATTCAACAAACGAGCAGTTCTTCGATTATTTAGATTTACTGCACTTCATGCAAAACCAATCCTATGAAATCTAATAACAATAACATTTTTGTTTTCTCTCTTACCTCAGCCAATCGAAGTATATATTTAACAAATTTTTATTTTTAGTCTCTAAGTAAATAGATTTAGAAATCGGTTTATTCCTCACGCGTTTTATGGATATATTGTATGTTTTTACACGAGTTTTCTACATATACCTTTCACACGGTCAAACATCCCTGGCCCAATTATTGCTAGGATAAACGTAAACATTTCGAAGCGTACTTCTCGCCGCGGTTTTTCACGTCGTTACCTACGTCCGCCGTCACTCTTACTCGCGGAACAATGCGGCTAATCCTCCACAAAGGCTCCCGCGTGCAAATAAACTCGCCACCTCCGTGTGTACGTGTGAAAGTCATCAGTTCGTTGGCCAGTCCGACACCGATTCCACGTTCACCACTCGCTATGACGAGTAGGAAAGAAGGAAAGTCGCTCGCGGCGATGGAAATGAGTTTACGAAGGCAGGCAGACAAAATCGATGTATGTACACCGGCGTTAATAATACACACAGGCAAGGTCTACAACCTTTAGCGAGCGAGCGTCGATGTAAAGACGCTCTCGCCTCCTCTTTCTCGTTTCCAGCTTCTTCGCATCTCATTTACCTATCTACGTGCCACCGGGGACCGCGGCGCCATCGATGAACCCGTGCCCACGAATCGCCTGTTCCGCATTTCAATTCCTCACGGTCCACCGAGTCTTTCTCGCGATCCATCTTTGTAAATGTACATCCTCTGTGACTCGCACGAATCCAATTAATCGACGTGTCCCTGCGTTCGATGCGAATTATGTCCCGCGCGGAATTTCAAATAGCCGCGAGAATATTTGTACAGAATTAGCTGTGACATCGATCCCGTTGTTGGTCGTTACGAAAGCTTCAGGTCTGATACAGTTAAGTGCATGAATCAATGCTGGGCCATTGTCTATTTCTCCTGTCTATCAAGAAGATATTATGCAACTGATCACCCGGACTCTAGTCTCGCCTACTCGCGTCCAATTGACGTGAGCTTCTTTTTTTATCCACCGATATTCGCGTATACACGCGGTGGCACTGTATTAAACGATCGGGATATAATATATTGGTCTGTGTATGTGTAACAGGAGGCGAATAGGAAGAAGCTGGGAGGGAATGGGGAATGGGATGTTAGACAGAAATCCGTAGAATGTGATTGTAGTTTGGTTCGTTTGGGAAGATTGGGTGCAGTTACACATCAGAATTTCAATGCATCGCCAGTTTAGTTTATTGAATCTAAAAGTGAATTACCGTCCAGCGATGACTGCAATTCCTATGTGGTACTCGTTCATAGGTTGATTACAACTATTCTTACGGGAGTAACAACTCCTAATTATGTTTCTATTTAAAGTTCGGGTATTTCGTTCACCCGATTGTTTGATAACCGAACATGAAAATTCCACGCGAAGCAATAATGATTATAGTTCCTTTCCACGAAACCGGTGATTCTCTCGAAATGAGTTACCATTGCGAAGTTTCCACCCGATAGCATTAAGAATGGTGTGCAGTTTACGGTATGGTTGCTACGTATTGAACGCTGGAGATCATTAAACGTCGGATTCCCGTTGTTACTACAGCGAGGCGACGGGAAAGAGAGCGTGCGGCGTCGAACGAGAAGCGGAAACTGATAGAAATAATCAATATTGCATTCGTCGAAATTGAACATTCGCAGGGGCACCAGATTCAATCTCTCGCCGGTATCAAGCTTGCATTGAAACGCGAGAGTTGGAACGAATTAACTGCTCGCACTTACAATCGCGGACGGACCTTCGAACAAAGAGTTTATTTTGGAAATAAAAACTGAAAAATGAAACGAACCCCTCGTGTCTCATTTTTGAAACACTCTATACGTTTCCGCCTCGGGCGTTTATATTTATTCGTCGACGCGCGTTGATATTCAACGAAAAACAGTAAAACGGAAAATAAGAATAAACATAAAAACACTGGGTCGTGTTTGCATTTCTGATAGCAACCTGCAGCGCGGCAAAGAGTATAAAAGTTCGTTCTATCACCGAAAGACGCGACGGAAATTCGTGTTTGCCTCTGTTCGCAACTCGTTGCGAGGAAAATGCATTAGACAGGGAAATCATGGCCAAAGGATGGGGCGCGATATCACGATAAAAATTACAGTAACGAGTAGAGCAAGTATCGTTGCTCGTGTCATTGATATCGCTGATTTCTTCCTTCGCAGTAAGACACGCTGCATTATTATTAGTACCTTCTTCCTATCGCCTGGAAAACGAATATCGAACCACGAACGATGAATAATTCACACTCGTTTGGTTTGTTCGTGTTATGATCTGTAGTTTAAAGTAAGAATAATCGAACTGCAGTTTAAATCAGAGGAAACGGTATGAGATTCGTAAAAGATCCAAGATTTTTTAATAATGTAAGATGTCTTTATATATTTAGAGATCCAGTCTTATTTAAAAAGAATTTATACGAGAGAGCCATGAATAGTTTACTCGATAATAGTCGACTTTCTCGTTAACAGAATTCCAGTTGCCCTCGTCTCGCACGTAATTCGATTTTCGTTTCAGAGGCTGATAAAGATCGTTATTAAATTATACACTTGTACCGTGTACCCGCATAATTCCCTTTCTACGAAATTGTCGTACCTCTTTGTCGCGTTTATCAAACGGACTCCGACAATGCACGATGAACAATAATCCCTTGTGTCAAATCATTATCATAATTCTCGCCCTTTAAAGCTTGCCACCCGGGGAAGGAGCTTTATGTTCATCCTCCCGGCTTGTTGGATTTAACTGCTCTCAATACCTTCATTTTCCCTCCATCCGACTTTTCTCAATAGCCAATTTCATACTCCATTAAAAAAAGAGGAGAGCTCTGAAAACTCTTCAAATTTCATACAACGAGCGTGAAACTTCTTTTTGCCCACTTTCAAACTTTTATACGTATAAATTCACGACACCGGCTATCGATTATTCGTTGCGTAATCTTGAGCCATTAACACTGTTCGTCCAACAAGTAAAAACAAATTAACATTTTCTTCATCTTCAACTGCTATCTATATCTGTTCTACTTTTTCACGCTGGAGATTTTGGGGATGAGTTATTCGCGTCGCGTAACTGGTAAGAATCACCCTCTCGAGTCGAGGAAGCCGGTTAAACAAAGCGAGGCAAACCAAGAGCCCGTTGAAGCAAGCCTTTCGACTCATTAAACCTCAACGCTGCTTGTCTCCGCCGAACGGGCTAACAAACCAGCTGTGCCAATCTGTTTACCCTGTCTCGAGGAGTGGGACGTGATCGTAAATGAGCTACAGCGATGCATATTCGCGAAGCGTAACTCAATATCTACTCATTTTTTTAAAGAGAATTAAATTTCCTATTGCAAATGTATGCGAATTTTAATAATCGACGAACTGCAATAGAATTTCACCTTGATTTTGTCGACGTTAAGAATTTTGTTTCCATTCATCAGAATTCATGTATTTCATCAGTTCTGCTTAATCGTTCAAACGAGTTCAATCGTCCATTGAATTCGTGATTTCCCACACGTGCAACGTACCTACACGTAGAGCCTAAAGCCAGTTTTTCGATGAAATAACGCGTGTTGATCGAACTGGAGAGAGGAAAAGAGTGGCTGGGCACGGAGTTGGCTCGGATACAGAACAAACTACTTGGCCAGACACTCGGGCACCTTATACCCGATAAGGGACGTTGTCTGCTGAGACCGGTAGTCGCGCCAGATTCGCTTCGAAGAGATTCACCACGTTCTTGCTACCCCTGGCCAGCGATACACGTTTCCTCTATTTTTCTCTGTCTTAGTGAACACCTCGTGATTCGACAATGATGAATAATGGTTGAATTCCGTATTTGGGTTGATTAAGATACGCAATTAGATTATTGGAAACGTTCAATTTATTTCTCTGGTATTGAATTGTTTTGTACATTAGTGTGATAAATTCTACGATGATTTCCTGACAATTATCCTTCGAGTTTTTAATACTGCAATCCAATTATAATCAGAGTATAGAATATTTGACACAGGAGTCTTTCAGAATCCACTAAAACCTATCCTCGCACTTCGACGAGGAAATTCCGAAAGCTGTTACACGTTGATTGCAGTTTACCAATTCACACCAATGATTCATTAATAGCTCATTCAAATATCACTCGACCTCTCCCGTGCAAATCAATATCCATCCTCGATCGCCTACCTACTGGCATTGTGTAACCCTGTTTGCTTGCACGCGTGTGGTTCGCACTAGCTCAAACCTGAACTACGATAAAGTCGTGACCATAAATCAATCCTCTTTCTTTTAACCCTCCTTTCGTCTCCACCGCCCTCATCGATCTATCAATCAGCATTGACACTGGGGTTAACGGTTATCCCTAAGAGGCAACAAGTACCTGTAACAGGATGTGCACTCAATTTTCCCGGTGAGCGAAAGTGCGGGTACAGTTGGCGAAAGTAATAGACCGAGCTAGTAAATTGATACTTATTATCTTTATTACATGAACGATTACATTCCATCTTCCCCGACTCCTTAAGAAAATCGGAAAATTGTGTACACATTTCTCCTACGTTTCATCACTTTGCGTTGTCTTAGAAATTTCGAATTTCTCCATCAGCTGGTAACCACATGGTATCCCCTGCGGCTTCCAGTATTCGGTTTCGTGATTCTGGTCAGTTTAACTTGAAGCAAATTCGAGGAGACTTCTGTTTCGTTTGTTTCCACGCGACGGGGTGCAACGATGCGTCCATAAAAATCGAGGACATGTTTCCGCCACAACAAGAGATCCCGTGCCGTAGCCAGTTATTGTTTCGCTAAACGAGACTCAGGGACTTATTTGCTCGCATGAAGATGGACATTAAATATCGAGGTTCCCTCAAAGTATACAATTAGAAGATCGTACGGCCGGGAAACGTGTCAAGGACTCGGCCACCACTTTGAAAGGTTCGCACACGGAACGAGGTCCGCGTTTAATGATCACTGATCCTTCGATCCTGTTTGACTGTTTCTACGATCGCTAATGCGAGTGTTCGCCTCGGCAAATATTTGGAATTGGATTCGCGGACACGTCACGTTGCGTCGCGACGCGCGTCGATGCTACCCCTCCACGCCGTAGACACCGGATCGAGTACTTCGCTTGAGATTTATATGTCCTGACACTCGGGTGAATCGCCTGCATACAAAGAAAATGTCGACACGATCCTATTCAGGCTCACAGTTTATATGCTCGCATTTTTATGCTTTATAATTGACCGTTGCACTGAAAATCGTTCCTTTCTTAGAGGATAATATATTCCACGTGGAATTTATACAGATCACTGCTTGGTATAAGCGAGGTCAGTTCTGCCTCCGGCGTCTTATACGATTTCGTCTAATCGATTCCCTCGTCAGGAATTTAATCATAAAATCAAAGGCAACAACGTTAGATGAGAACGTAGATGAATTATGAAGTTATTATTTTAGCGGTCGACACGCGGTGCAGACCTTTTCTAATTTCGTTTCATCCGAAGATTAGCTGTTACAATATTCAGTTTCAAAAGAAACTTTTCCGCGTCTTGTATACATCGTTCCGCTGAATTTAGTTCGTGAATTTTTAGGCTGTGGCTCCACCGGACGATTTAATTAAGTTTGAACAGGAAACTTTGTGAAATAATTCATTCCCGGAAATTTCTGATAAATTCTAGACAATAATTTTGTTCATTAAAGTGACAGCAAACTTTATAATATTTGAATGCTGCTAATAATGAAACTTTGAAATGAGTAATACGATTTCTGTGTGGCGATATTTTCTAAGTGAAAACGTTTAATTGTTTACACAGAGTTCGGAACTTACAGTGACGTTTATTGTATCATTTTCAAATCGAGATTGCAATTTTCTCTCAATTTCTATCCGCCTTCGTTCCATTCAATTTTATATAAGTCCAAATACGAGAATCGCGAGTTCATATGATCACGAAGTATCCTACCTACTTATTGTATCTTTCACAGACGACCGTAGCCACTCTATTTTCTCTTACGTCGCATCGTTTCTTGCCGGCGGTATTCAGCTCCTTCAAAGACGGCGGAAAATTTAAGAACCAATAATCGTATCAAGTAAATAAAGGAATATAATTCATTCGCCGGCTACTCCGCTCGATCGATGACGTCTCAAATAAGAGATATCGTACTTGAGCATCTCTCATTTCATCTTCTAAATTACTTCGAAGGCGAACTCTTTGCTTTATAATTAAATAAGAATATTCTTGTAGATAATAAAATCTCGACACCCGACATCCTGGCTCGGTTCATAATTAGCAAAAAAAAGTCGACTTCCCAACGTAAAATCTCCTCGAAGCATAGAATCCCCATGTATCGCGAAACAACTTGCACTTTCAAACAAACTACTTATATTCCAATCTAGCGCGCTCATCCCTTGTTATCCTCTCGTAAACGACTTCGTGATAAAGCAAAGTAGCTCGAAGATTCTCGATACATCCTTATTCGCGAAACGAAGTTTCGCCGCGCTGTCAATAACAGCGTCGCCCGTTCGTCGACAAGGGCTGCCACATAGACCGTGGCAAGCGTGCCAAGGTCGGTTTGGAGAATCCGCGAGGAGAACCCCGTTCGCTTGCTTCGAGCACGTGGAATCGGTACCGTCCATCTTTACACGAGACAATCCTAATCGTAATCCGCCTGGCTAATTGGATATTTTCCTTAGAGTAGACACGCTCAAAGCCAAAGGCGGAACTACCTGGCGCGCGCCTAAAGGAGCGACCGAACCGAACAGATTGGAAACTGGAACACGCGATAAAATCGATATGTCCAGTTGTTGTCCATTTGCGATTCGGGATTCGAATCAATAACAGTTGTCGCGTGGGGTGCTTATGGTTGTTTGAAGATTGAAAATCAAGACGAACGAGAATGTCTATCCGACGCGTATCTTAGCTCGATATTCAGTAGTCGACCGTGGCTTTAGTCTGACATTAACTGACTTAAACACAAAAGAATAAGAATTGTTCGTATTAAAATATATATTTACACATACATATAGTGATAACATATTTTACACGCTACTATCGACAAAATTATTATTTTAACTAATTGCGGCTACTGGTACCAAAAAGGGACCTGTAAAATAGAATCATTTCCTTTACACCAAGATTCTAATGTAATCTTCATGATATCAAAGTGATACTGGAGTACTTAGTTTCTGAATTATTCACTGGCTGACGTTCAGAAAATATCCAACCATTATAGTTACGGAAACGATAAGAATACAAGCTCCGTAAGCAATTAAGTAAACGCAGGTGCTGTATACAATATTCTTCAAATTTATTAGATTCCTATCATCGTCGTTCTGTCCGTCGTCGCTCTTCAGTCCATCCTCTTCGCTTTTACCTATGATAAGATAAAACAACTGTGGATACTCCTCGTATTTCCTGTTTTTGCTCGTAAAATAGAACTTTTATTACGGACACAAAATGTTTTATATTCGTTGAACCTGACGTACTTATTGATACTGGTTCCTGGAACGAAATTTTCCTCGATTTCTTCTGTGGGACAGCTTCTGTCGCCGACTTGCTTCCTCCTTGTTCGTTCGATGAATTTTTGTCATCTTCCTCTCTATCGGTTTTTCTTTCTGATACTGATTCTGATTTCTCTTCTGATACTGATTCTGATTTCTCCTCTTCTTCTCGTAAGTCTTCTCTTTCTTCTGATACATGGGACACAATTGCGGATTAAGTAAGGAATACTTTATGGAAAGTGATCATGTTATTTTAAGGAGCATTCCTGTGCCTTCTCTAAACAATATAATATCGAGGAAAGTTGTTTTCGTTCTGTATCTTACGACCGATATTTTATAGGAAAACATTCCCGAGCTCGATCGGAATTATAGCAATGACCTGAGGTTGGAAGTTGGCCAAACGGGACTGCTTTCCTTCGAGAAATGCTATCATGCTCTTCTGTTTCTTCCTCGATCTTTTTGTTCGCGACGCCTCCCGTGTCCCCTTCTGAAACGTGGTTACGGAAATCTTATCAATTTGCGAGCTCGTGATTTCTATTGCGTTAAGCGTCAGTGACGCGGAAAAATAGGAGCAGCTTCCTGTTTCCTTCTTCTCATGTATCAAACACAAAACTCGTTAAAGATAATAGTTATTATGAATAATTGGTCTAGTTTGAGGATTGTGAATCATACAATAAATTATAGGTTCTACTTTTTGTGCGAAAAAAGCTTGCTCGCAGAAAAGCAACAAGTGGTCATTGGGACAAAAAGTGAGTTTCAATATGTATTTCCCGTTTACCTTCGTTCATACACGTCACCAGTAATATTTTTTTTTTATATCGGTGCAAAGGTATTCCCCTATGCTCAGACAACAAGTGTAAAAGAATTTAACCTTTGTGAATGCACTGATTGATTTATGTACCTAGCGGCTTTTCAGCTTGGCTGCTTACGTCCGTTTCCAGCCGCTCGTTATCACTATTGCTCTGGCTGGTGGTCGCATTCTCATCGGCCACGGCCTCGCCCTCGCTTCCCGCCGCTGCTGCGGCACAGTAATAAGTTACACAGGCTACGTCCGATTACGAGTCACTTAATCGCTATGAGATATCGAAAATCGTTACATCCCCCTGTATGTTCATCCTATTTCAGCAATTACATTCTCGTTCCGCCCACCCTTGACCCTCCAGCATAATTCGAAATACAATTTTGTGGCTTCGCCACCAATAATTAATTTCATCGGTTTTATCGTTTTAACGATTGAGAATCTTTCTCCGATACACAGGATAACATTTAAAAAGAATTTCATCGGTCTGGTTGAATTTGATTATTACCTGAGATGAATTTAATAACGAGTATTTCACTTTAGTATATCTAAACTGAAATTTCTCTGTCCCATAAACTCTACGGTAGTTTTGGGGGTCAGAGGATGCGAATAGTTTACCTGCGGCAATTAGTGTCCAGTGGTTTATGACCGGAATTCCCCGCCTTCATTATCATTAATGAGAATGTTTGTATAAGGATTTCCTTAACAACCACGCAAAACCCGCAGGTTCGAGTATTTTATTAGCTTCGTCCGCTGCATATTTTTTACGACAGCTGTTTCTTTACGACAGTCTTTTTTTACGACAGATAGTAATATAATTGATTGGTGACGGTATTCCAAATTTTGCACGTGTTTTATATGGGCTTGAACCCCAACTTTTTAGCAACCACTTCAAACTAAGTAGACTTGCCGCAGTTAATTTCACCCTAACAAACAGGAGTGAAGGTGTTTTCCAAACCCACTGGATACCTGTTCTTAAAAACCTCGTAAAATAATCTTTTTGGTTTTACGTATACAATTCGTCAAATCTGCTTGTACCCTAAACGACCCGGCTGGCTGGCAATCAACACGTGTTTCCACAAGCGCGTTCGAGGTAGATAGCCGGGTTGAGTTGTGCAATATAACAAGAACCCTAGCTAGTTAAGTAGGATCCTTCGGCTAATCCTCTACCGCACGTGCAGCACATCTGTTACTGTGTTATAGTGTCTTGAATGTCCCGAAAGGCATTTTCGTAAACTATTATCCCGAGTATACGGAGTCTAGTACCGAGTGAATTTTCATAATACCCAGACAAGAAGTTTGTCGGATAAAGTGAGATACAATTCAATACACTGAGTGAGTTTGAATATGAGTTTTCTTATCTGAATATAATATAAGCTGAAACGAACCTGTCGTAATTCGTCGTAAGAATCTGTTTGTTAAATTTCTTCCGATTGAACTTATAATAATTGGACAGGAGGATGACCAGCGCATCCTGAATGGGAAGTCTTCTTGTTCTCAAGTTTTCAAAAGGCGAAGTTGAAAGGAGTCGTAATCGGTGAAGCGCGGAAGGGAGGAGATCTGGAATTACGGGGAAAATCGCTTACGATGGACACGATCGTCTCGTCGAGGAAGTCTGATCCATCATATTTCAATTGATATTACGATAATGGACAAAGAAGAAAGTCTGTACCGTCTGTCCTACGATATCTGAGCCGATATTTAATGAGATACAGACTTATTTCGATTATTTTCGTCAGAGTCATTTCTTTATTAAGCAAATTAGAAAATATGTACATTTTCACGGAAAATATCAGATACGATATATTATAAATTAATTGATGAATTGGAAAGATTGCGTCCACTATTAAAAACCTTTCAGGCAAGGTTTTCTGTAAATTGATAACTTGACGTGTAGCGTATCTTGTAGGACAGACTATAAAATGTGTGAGAGCGTACCAAAGGGTAGCAGGAGGGCAGAAGGAACGTGATTTGTCGTGAAAAGCTGAGGTTACTTTCACCGTGACAGGAGAACCTCACCACCGCTCGATTCGCCTCGCTATCGCATGTCGATCGGTACACCGCGATCGATACACGAACATGGCCTGCCGCAAGTTGGCTCGTAAACGTCGTGTCTTCGGTTGAACTGTTCTAACCTTGAGCCCATTTTTTTCTAGCCACCCCAGTCGAGCGGCATCCTTTTCATTTACTTAGAATGATTTGATCGCCAATTTTATTCGCCGAGACGTGCCGTCGTTCAGCGTTAAAAGACTTGTTTTGATGATCCATTGCACTTTTCATTGTCATACGAAATGAACAACCGTTTCCCTATTTTAAAAACTGTAATAGTTTCCTAATGATTCTCCTACTTCACATTTAAATGAAGAATTATTTTCATTATTTGAGCTATAATAATGACTGAGATAATTAATGTATGAAAGCATCGAGTATTTCCTTTAACTGTTCGCCGAGGAAATGTTTTACAACGTTAGAAATCAATTTGTCCTAGTCTATTAGAAGCATTCCGGTGTCTGGTGTACCACTGAGTTTCGCCGGTGCAACGTCTTCAGGAATTCGCCCCGAACTCGGCGCGTCCGAGGATTCGACATTTGCGAAACTGTTTCGCAGTTCGCGGTAAGTGCGATCGTACTCCTTAACACTCTAACCATCCTGATGATCTTGGCTCACCCGGTGTCTTCTCACAATACGGTTCAGTTTCCGATGTTCAGAAACTAGTTTCGTGTTTATAAAGTGCCCATTAACGATACTTAACTCGTTAAATACTGGAATTAGAAGAAAAATACATAGCACCTTCCTTGTAGAGGACGTGTAAAGTACTTACAACTTTCGTATAAAAAGTTTTTCGCTATCATCAATAATTAATCAATAAATAAAATTTTGTGTTACAAAATCTTTTTGTTCCTTCTAGCGAAAACATTTTCCTCTGTCGTAAGACGCAAAGTAACTACTGTTTAAAACTGCTATCAACAGTTTCGTACAAACGAAAAATAAGGTGTCCGCGCAAGACGGGATTTTAAAACCGCAAGACTATTATCGTTAGTAGAGTTCGGTATCGGTCTCCTGTTTCTCCTTCTCGCGCGATACGTACTATATTTTCATTCTTAATGGAGCGAGAAGCGTTCTAGTTATATAATATGTATACATACATACCTAGAGTAATCGTATTTACGCTATTCCACTCAATGGAAATGGTTCCACGAATGATGCGTAACAAACAATCATAAATGTCTGTATTTTTTCTGAAATCCGTTCCAAGTACCCTCATGCATTTTTATTGGCAATTGGAAAAAATAATTAAAAAAAAAGAATCCTTGTTACTTTTAGTAGTTTCCTTTGACAAAGCAGTCTATATTTTATTATTTCTATACAATGCATTGATATATGTGTGCCGAACGCTATAAGTGCAGAATATTTTGCATACATCACTTTGTTATCACAATTTACGAAGATTTACGGCCGACTATACGTACATATCATCAATTTTTATTGGGTTTCATAGTCACCGGACGAAGTGTATGAATATGTATTTTTCAGCTATTGAATTTACATATTTATAGCATGTTCCACAATTTTTGTAACCGTAATCTGTTTTCCTTTCTAGTTTAAACTAAGCTTTTTGAATCTGCATAGATTTTTTTTCTAGCAGATGACAGTACTCACGATGAAACGCATTGTTCGGTTTATTTGATTTACTTGGGCCTTCCAAACGGGCGGAACGGGCAAGCTTAATGGAAAAAAATAAAAGACGTTTACGAGGCAATGGATAAGACAAATGGGCCAAACGGCGAGGAATCGAATCCATACGGCGCGGCGCGACGCAGTGTGATCGTAAAAGTGGGTTATTCGTGGCGTGATTTGCAGTCAGGGAAGTAGCCTCGGTTCTAGCCAACCTCACCCTCCCCTATAATAATTGTCTAAGTGTCAAAATCATTTCCATTTACGCTCTACTTGGCATGTTTTTCGCTCGGCCGCTCTCCCCGTTTGAAGTGGCGTTAGCAATTAACAAATTGAAAGATCGAATATTACAAAATCAATGGGAAATGATTTGTACGTGTTAATCTTAATTTCATTAAATACTCGACTCTTGTTAACTGCAGATATATTTGTTAATAATTGGAGCATGCCAGTTCCTTCCGAGAACTCATTATTGCTCAAGCGTACCGAGCATCGTTCGAAAACTTATAGGAAGCTTAACGAATCGATTTCTTTCTTACTTTTTGCGATAAGTGTTACTTCGAGGCGAATAAAAGTATCATTTCTTCGTCGTATCAATCTCCGTCGACGTCAACGTCGACGTTAAATTACTCAATACGTTATTCAACAATTTCGTGTTGAATCTCTGGCCAGAAACTCGAACCGTTCTGTCCTGCAAGCTTCTTCGCGTTGTATCAATAATAAACTTGCCTATTACCTGTTTCATTAACCGCAGCTAGTGTACTATACAACGTGAGTCTTCGCGCTCCCAGGAGCAGGTTTCCGTTCCGTGTTTCAACGTCAGAGAACAAAATCGCCTTACGACGTTCCACGGGTATTCAACGTCGTTCTAGTCTTTAGTTTCGACATTTTTCCGATTATTTCTTATCGTGTACATTATTGAGTTGCTCTTGTCGAACTTACTGAACTGAGGATAGAAAAAATTATAGGGTACTTAAACGAAGGAGCCTCGAAGAAAAATATTTTCAGTTTTCTTTCCATAAGACACAATCTTCTCGTATTAAATTGAAATGTATTTTCAAGACATTAAAAACACGTGAGGCGAACGCCTTTAGACGCGCGCGTCCTTCGTAGGATGTAAATCAGGAATTCGTCCATCGCCTTGTCCCCTTGTTCGTTCGATAAGCCGAAAAAGATCATTTTTCTCTACCTACCCTCAGTGAATACTTCAAGCCCCACCCTTTTGTAGCTGACACCTCAAGGCTGTCGACTCTCATATTTTAGGCGACTGCGAATTTTTCTTTCATTATAAATATTTCCTTTTGCTGCTATGTCACTCTCCTTGGATCTCTTATCCTGAATATTTGAAGAAGATCGCGAACAGCAGTGTAAAATCGCAGCTAAGCTACGAGGAGTCGTTTTAACGGGAGCCGGAGGGCTCGGCGATGGTATCTGGTAACTTCAATTAAATTCTACACCGGCGGTTGCCAACGTCGCTATGAAGTGGATTGAAAAGGATTTTTGTCGTCAAAGACCAGTTTTCCTTCAATTACAAGTTTTATCTCTAACTTCATTACCAACTCGATTTCGTAGTAATTAATCGAGGAATCTTTCTATGATATTTTTATATTTTTAGACTTCTGAATGTAAGAGCGTTGCTCGATTGTGATCTGGTCCAATTAAAAGATTTAGATATTAAAAGTAGTAAGGCAA